ATATAATTCGCCACGTTTAACTACGATTATTCGATGCATTGAATGATAAATTATTCATCGTAAGTAACTTTATTCCTAACTTCCTTTATAATCCATTTAAAAATTTTACCCTTCTCTCGTTAAGAATAACCGGATCCAAGCGATCTTGGCACAGCTGTTCATCTTGATAGAAAAGGATGGCCAGACGCGACATACGTAATCGTCCTGGAAAATAAAACGAAACCTCGAAGCACCTTTGAGTAATCCTTTTCGAACAAAGCTTTTCGGAGGGGGGGGAAAGAATTGCGAAAAATATGGGGGAGAAAGGAGAAGGAAGAGGAGGAGGAGGAGGAGGAGGAAAGGGAATAAAAATTAATCTTTGTTGGCAATTTTCGTTCACGTACCGCGCTTATTCGTCACCGGTATTGCATTCCACTGGGATAGAAATTGCATTACTTTGGGGGAAAAACGACGTTAAAACGAAGCCTGAAACAAGTTCCCAACGATATTCTTTCGCGCTGCGCCCGGCCACCGATAATGAAGTTTCTGCCTGTCGCCTGCTGTTATGCAGCATAAAAATTTCAATGAAACTCTTCTTTCGAAATGGCTATTAGCAAACCGCCCCTGCTCGATGTATCGATTTGCATCCCTCTCGGCTTTTGAACCAACCGTTCCTACCTAAACACTCTTCCGCTACCAATAGACGAATACATTAATAGAGAATGAAGCTATAGTGAAATAAACTTGTATAGGAAGTCGATATTCCTTCTCTGATAAAAGGGTAACAATCGCCCTACGTTTCCGCTCTAATGTTCGATAAACGATTGTCGAACAATATGTCCGAATATTTTCCTTCCTCGATCCTCGTAACCGAGGGCAAATTTTATTTCCTTCTTCAATCCTTTCGGAAATGGAACTCTCCAAGGATTTTCATCCTTTCGTAAAATTTCTCCTTCTTCGTACATCCTTCTTCGCCCACGTTCGTGTACAACCGTCATTCGCGTAAAGGGTTAAACGCGTTTAAGAGTAAAAACTCTCAGGAGTATACTTTACGGCAGTCAGAGAGTTCACCATCGAGCCACAAGCGATTACTAATCCACTACTAATCCTTTCCTCCATCGTCTTCTCTCCAATATTCCCTCGAATATCTGATACCCGAACAACGACTCTAAAAAGTCTTTGCTCTTCTCCACCCACGCCTTAAAAATAATAAAAAAAATCGAGAAATCCGATCTTTCGTTTCTTCGTTCGCACGAATAAAAGGACGAACGTCTTTTATCTTCTAGAAGGGAAGAATGATAGGAAGCGGGAAAATTCAGGATAACCCCTCAATTATTCGGGAGGGTATCGGCTAGGTTGGCGGATACGAGTCGACGTGTTGGCGGTTGTCGTACGCGCGGAAAGACAGTTTGGCAGGGCGCGTGTCTCGTGAAAGAAACATCGTTCCCCCGGACGCTCTAATGGCCGGAGGGTTAATCGCGACCAGGAGGCGAGTAAAGCCGGAATAAAGCCACGTAAAGATTTATGAACGGACCGTGAAAAGAGGAGATTGGCGATTCGAAGCGCACGGGTGCCGCGGGATTTCATCCGTCCGCTTGGGGGATTCGTGTTGCCTCGTGATTGTTTTCCAAAGATCGCCGATTGGATAGAGTATATATATATATATATACACATATATATCGTTTCGAAGGAAAACAAGCCACGCGATTATACCGCGCGATGGAAAAACGCGAGGCGTGCAGATTGTTTTTTAGTTATTTCCTATTTCGTAGATTTGGGAAAAGGAAAGGAGAATATTAAAAATATTTGAAGAAATTTTGAAATTTTGGCGAAATGTTCGAATGTTTTCAATTGTTGATAAAAAAGTAATTATCTATATTGATAGCTTTATAGAAAATAATATTGAACAAAATTAATTAGATAAATCTATGTCGTTCGTGAAAGATTAAAATTGTGCAGTAGTATTACAATTAAAGTCTTTAATTGATTGTTATATTATAAATTCTTGGTTCATTCTCTTAATATGACCCATGATAAGGTTCTAAAAAAATTTTTACAAATTGTATATTAAATTTGTAATTATATAATATTTTACAGAAAATATTAACCCAAAAATTCTAATTTTATGAAATTTTTACATAAGATATGTAATACACAGGTTAAATAAATTTCCTTGTAAGATAATGAGGATTTGAGATACTTTCGAGCGAGCTATTTTCTATTATGTAATAAAATCGAGATGAATCGAATAAAAAGATTTATGAACGGTAACAAGTCGCGTGGAAAAAAATTGGATCGGATATTGTCGGTAGATCGTAAAAAAAAAGAAAAAAAAGAAAAAAGAAAGATCCTCTCCTTTCTTAATTTATCGACTTTCATCGACGCTCTCATTAATTATTTTCACGGATAAATGTCGTAAGAAACCGAAGCCCGGCTACCCCGCCTCCGGTCGTAATCCCTGTGGAAATATTTTTTCCATCCTCCTCCTGTCCCTTCCCTTCTTGTATTATAAGAGCCGGAACGAAAGGAAATGGAAGGGGCATATTTTAACAATATTTGACGTTTAAACACGGAAAAGTACAATCGTTTTACCCTTGCGAATCGAAGAAAGTTTGAAACGAGATGGAGAGACAGAAACCGAGGAAGCCTCGGTTCACGGTGGTTCAAGCTTGATGGTAAGAATTATCCAAGTAGCTGCAAGCTTCTTCCAGACCAGATGTAAATTAAACAATCGCAACTGTATCCACTGTTTCTGAAACTTATCCAAACTTCACCTTTTTGGCATTTCGTTAATTGCCTTGCATATTCATTTTTCTTTCTTTTTTCTTTTTTTTCCCCCCCTCTTCCTCGCATTTCGGACGCGAAATATTCCTTTCACCATTTCCATCCTTATAACGAACGAAACATTTCCAATAAATTGCAGAAGATATTAATTTAAAAACCGAGGCTCGCGATGCGAACAATTATTTCGACATAAATAATCGACGAGCCAATTTTATAGGGAAGAAACCCGAGCTCGTTCCTCGTTCCTCGTACGAATTCCTCTCTCATTAATAAACGCGCTTCCTTTCCGAACAAAGAGCCCGTTAATTAGAAGCGTTGCCTCGGTACAAATACATATTTACAAAATGAAGTTAATTTCCGTTCTTCGAACGCAATTAAATTTTATCATCAATATTGTAATTTTTGCGCTTCTCTTCTTCTTAAAAAAAAAAAAAAAAAAAAGAAGAAAGAAAGAAAAAAGAGAAAAAGAGAGTCATTCGTATAACCTGACGCTAACCTAACGACGCTCGCGTCAGGCTAATGAACGTTGGAGCGCCATTTTGTCTTCCGTGAGGAAAAAAAAAAAAAAGGAACGATCCATTTTCTCCCAGTTGCCATGATAATGATAATAATAATAATTATTAACCCTTTTTCTCGTGACCTACTATCATTCACTCTCGGTTTACGAGACTTCTCTCGCTCTTCCCTTCTCTTTATCCTCTTCTTATTATCCATCCTCTACCTCACCTACCGACGAGTGAGGCAACGAATCGCCTCTCGTATACATCGTCGAAACGAAACAGGTTCGGAGCGAAACCGATTCGAGTACGACGTGTTAACGCCTTTGAAATCGTAATTTCAACACCATCATCCAGTGTTCGTTTATTGGATCCGCTTCGCGAATCTTTTCGAAATCGGTGTGCAGCTTTCGCACAGCTTCTCTCCTTCTCTCTTTTTCTTCTCTCTCTCTCTCTCTTCCTTCTCTCATCGCCGCAGCGATGATTTCGCAGGGAAAGACGGCTTAACGACTTGGAAATGGAACGACAGTTTTTTTTTTCTTTTTTTTTTTTTTTTTTTGATATTCGCCCCGATAAAAAGACCGCGCACCTTATTTTTTTCTCTCTGTCTCTCTCCCTTTCGCCGTCTTTTTACAGCGGCACTTTCGGACCAACTTTTATATACCGCGCTAACTTTTTACGCGACTGCTCGTCCTCGAGCTTAAAAATTATTCGAAACGGTAGGTAGGATGTTGCCTAGTCGGGGCCCTTGTATTAACCGCGACGGGATTGTTTCCCAAAGTTGCGCGAACCTTTCTGGTCCGGATTAAAGTTCGAAAAGATTCCCTCTTTCGATTGTACATATCCACCGCTGTTTACGATTTTCCGGCTTCTCCAGGCCCCGTTTAAATTCACAATATTTCTTCGCTGTTTATCGTACACGCTTTGAAACCGAGTTTTGGAAAAGGAAGGAAATATTGAAAAGTTAATATTGGAAAGTATTTTTTGAGAATTGCTCGTTACTAAAAAGTAATATAATTTATTTAGTGAGTTTTATTAGATAGGATATGTGAATTCAATCTAGAATTGAAAGATTCGAAGAGAAATATTTATGGATATACAACGAGCTATGTATGCAATATTTTAGCGCGAAAGATAGATAAAAATAAACGAGAAACCTCGTTAATTTCGTTCAAGCATTTCACAAATAAAATAAAAACTTGCTCAGTTAAACGTATATCGAATTTAAATAGCTTAAATATCTTTAGCTAATATTTCCATTTTACACCAGACTTGCAAGTCAAATCGAGCAGCAATTACTCGAAAATTTCAAGAAGTTGAACGCGTTATTTCGTCGAAATCGATAGAGAGGGGGACAAACAAGTGACAGCAGGAATAATAAAAAAAAGGACAGGAAAATTCGCTTCGTAGATTGATGCCTGTTCCAGTGGGTTTCGCTTTTTCCCCCCATCTCTCCACCTTTTTTTGTTTACCCTCTCTCTTTGTCCCTCTTTCTCTCTCTCTCTCTCTCTCTCTCTCTCTCTCTCTCCTTCCCTCCTTCTTCTTTTTTTTTTACAACCAAGCTCCGGAAAAAAGGGTTTCATTTAACCGAGAAAGTTTCGCCGATAAAACCGGTGCCGGGTTCTTCTCTTCGGAGAGATCCTGTTTGTGCGTTTATGTCGAACGCGACTGTTTGTTCCGGCCTGTACACTATATTTGCACGGCCGACCGGGCTGAATCAATTTCTGCTTTCGGTTTCAGTGCTCCTGTACGATGGCGAGCAATTAAACTTGACGAGGATCACGCGCAATGAAATGGGCGCGTATCTCTGCATCGCGACCAATGGAGTCCCGCCAACAGTCAGCAAGAGGATCACCGTGGACGTCGAATGTGAGTGGGTTTCAAGGATATATACGTATAGGCGACCAAGAGTCAAGGTACACAAGCGTGTCCCTACGCGTGCGTTCGTCGAGTCGCGCGTTTTTAAAAAAAAAAAAAAAAAAATGAAAGAAACCTCTCGTCGTTCGGTGTTGTTTGCTTTTTCTTTCTTTTTTTTTTTTCTTTTTTTTTTTCTTTTTTTTTTGGAACGAGAAAAAGGAACGAAAGATTTTTCCTCTGTCAGAGATACGTACGGGTTTAAGTACGGGGAAAAAAAAGAAAAGAGAGAAAAGAAAATGAGTGGTTTCTGTTATTGACGAAAGAAGGGAAATGGAAATGGAACGGGAAATATAGAGGGATATCGTCGAGTATTTCGAAATGGTTTCGTATTCGATAACTTTTCTCGCTTCGGTTCGTTATTGAAATTCTTTTTTATTACTTTCGGAGGGAGGGGAAAATTCGATTCTCTCCTTATGCGAAAATGATCCAAGTGATTTGGATTCGATTGCACGCTTATCGCGTGATTTTCATCCAGTTTGAGTAATAAGATGAATCGATATCGAATGAAACGAAACAGAATCATCGAAAATCATTAATTATAACGATTATAATTAGATCGACAAGGAATTCAATCACCCTCCGTTGCAATCATTTCTCCGATCGACAAAATTATCGTAAATTTAACGGATAATAATTATGATTCATTTATGATTTTGTCGTTAATATTTATTATCACAAAATTTTTTAAACCATCTTTATATTTTTTCTTTTTTTTATTCGCAATATTATCACTGCATAAAATTTTTTTTTTCTTGCACATTTTTATCTTTTGTAAGAATAAAAGAACACCTTCTAGTTTTTATCTTCATTTTTTTTTTTTTTTT